CTTTATACTGAGGTAGTAATACAAACCTTAGCAGCATGGATCAGTTTCTTCAAAGCTCCTCTTGGCTGATCATCTACAGTGAAAAACAAAAACATAACTATGAATTAGGAAAACAGTTCAATGCCATGACAGTCATTCAAATGATTTTATTAGTTCACGCAACCAGAACCTTATAATCCTCTTCCTGATACAACGAAGAATTTGGTATAAGAATGGCCTTGGACCTGCTCCCAGCAAGATAAACAATAAAAGGACTGGAAGTACCATAACATCATTTAACAAAAGTTCTTCAGCTTCAACTCCAAAAACAGTTATAACAAGAATTTGGCATTCATCTAAATATAATCCAGTCTTAACTATTCTTGGATTCCTATAGCACCCAAAATATGAGTGGAATTACATCCCAAATTAAAATAACATTAAACAAGCAAAATTTTCCTCTATCAGGAAAATAATTATTTCTTACAAGATAAAGCAGAAGTGAAAAAGTACACACAGAACTGAATGTATTTAGTTTGCGAATGTAATTTTCTTCTAACTACTAATGCTATCATGAGAGAAAATTTTTTTAAAAATCACCTTCTCTTCCTTAAATTTGTTAAGTATGCAGGATATGGGGGCAGATAAAAGAGGAAGGACATAAAAGTTAGAGGAACCACCACTGAGGAAAAGTGGGTAAAGGATACGTGGGACCTCTCTATACTATTTTCCAATTTTCTGTGGATCTATAATTATTTCAAAATTAAAATTAAAAAAAGTCAGAAGAATTAGTCTGAGAACACAGTGAGTACTACAGTGAACCTAAGTTTTGCCAATTTCAAACTACAGCCAGGAATGGCAATTACAATTTGGGATGGCCAAGATTAAAGTACCATAACCATCTGAATCATCTGACTAAAGCAGGAAAAAAAAAAAAAAAAAGTACCCCGAGGTATTTGCTTATGTAACACTCATTTTTCAAACTACTCATCCATCCATTTGATTAGCTTGCAGTACAGCGAAAACAGGTATTCAATGATTATGATACAATGTGAAAATTGCTATAATGAAAATAAGCATAATATGCAAGAACAGAGGGGAAGGAGGCTGTTAAGTCTGTTGGAGGAGCTGAAGAAAGATTCACTGAAAAGGTGGTGCCCCAGCTGAAGCTAAATTTTAAGGCGTGGTGAGAGATAGGTAGTGTGTTACAGACAGAGGGACATGGTGTGCCAAAGTACAAGTATATAAAGAACATGTTGCATACGGGGAACTAAAAAGTAATGGAAAATCTTGTCACCATTTTTAGCCAAAGAGAACAAGTCATGACGTAATACCTAAATAGGTACCATATTCTGATTCACTCTTCATTTCCAGTTCCAAGCTATCGTCATCCACTACATCTTCTCCAAGCACAGCAGCCCAATCTTTCATCTTCAGCAAGTGTTCAGTCAGAGACTTGACATTTAGCAAAGGGGGAAAAAATCAAGAGAGGAAGTAATGCCTTATACTAACTGCTTTACAACTTCTGAATGTATAGTTACAGTTTAAAAATCAATCCGCATAGACAAGTAAATGGGCTCTTATTCTCCACCTGTTAAGATGTGTAAATAGTCTTAAAAAACTATAACATGTACTGAGTA